GCTAACGGCTAACCAACAGAGGTTCACTTCAGTTACATGATGATGCCTTCAGGCTCTGCTCAGTGAACATGAGTACTGGCTGAAGGTACATTATAACGATGTGTTCACATGTCATCTGTAAAATGTAGTTTTAGTGATAAACTAGAATAAATCCAGTAGCTTGAAGGAGATGTTTTCACGTTAATATAAAATAGATATTAGAGATGAATTATGAGCTGTTTACCTTCCTAACACGAGCTCTAAGAACATTATTATACTTCATTAAAATAATATCTTTATCAATAAAAATACAATCTTTTATTTCCTTATCATTTGAATTGTGTTTTATGAAGAAGAAACGCAGTAAATAGTTAGTACGGGTGTTTGCTGCCCTTCTCATGTTCGTTGTTACTCGTAGCAACTTCAGCTTCAGTCTTTACACTAAACACACGTTTCATATTTAGTTCTCATTATTCTGTCGTTTGTCTCTGAAGGAGAAGTCATCGTCATGTTTCATCTGTTACAACTCCCCTTTCCCCCCCCCCCCCCCCCCCCCCCCCCCCCAAAAAAAACATAAAGCCTCAGTAAAGAAACCTCCCCCTGAACTCCTGCAGGTGTTGAGCTGCTCAGAGAGAAAAACTCCATCTGAGCTGAGAGAAGTGTGTCCACATGTGTGTGTACGAGCCCCCCCCACACAGCTTGACCTCTGAAAGTGGAGGCAAGTGATGGAGGGAAGTCTGGGGGAGGAGGAGTCACTCTCTGGTCATTATCCCTAAACCCCCCCACAGTGTGAAACCTGGACCCGGCTCTCCTGGACTTGCTCTCGGCCCCTCAGCGGCTCACAGCTTCACTTCAGCATCGGTGTGTTTGATGAGACGTCATGTTTCATGTGTTCTGCTCTCTAGACGTTCATCCTACCAGCACAGAGCGCTCTGCTGAACGATGATCGGGTTGTTGTTGTTTATTGTTCTTCAGCTCTCTCGTTCATGTGAGCTGAACCCCAAAACCAGTCGACAGAACTCCACCGTCTATCAGCCAGAAGCTGTAAGAACTGGCTTAATCGTCAGATTCTGGTCTTTCCAAGAGTCCTTGAACACATCATGTATGACGAGCGCTTCAGTCAGAGAAAGAAACTTAAACGAAGCTTACAACTGATATTTTATTCTATATGTATGTATATATGTATTGTACTATATAGAGCAGGGGTCTTCAACGTTTTTCAGGCCAAGGACCCCCAAACTAATGGAGAGATGGAGCAGGGACCCCCGACTATATATATTGTATAAAATTGTGTTTTATATTAAATGGGCCTAGTACCGTGTATAAACATACCTCTTTATTGTGCATTCAATACTCAGCTATTCTAATAATACACAGCTTCATATATTCATGTCTTTGTGTTAAACATGTGCAAGGTACAGTGAGTAGGGTGGCTGTGCTGCTGCCATTTATAAACATACCTTGTCAGCTGATATCAACATTGTCTGTCAATTGCATGATAAACATGCAGACAAGCTATTCAAACTGATGCCTATTAGTGCCACTTCCATGCATAAACATACCTGTTATCTTACATACAATACTGAACTATTACAATAATGGACACATTTATGTTTAGAGAAAAAAATAAATTTTTTTAAATTAAATTGTCTAATCAACCAAAAATTTCGCGGACCCCCTGTTGAAGACTATGTTTATGTTCTTGTTGTATTTGCACCTTCCATCAGTATCTGTGTGGATTGCGTCCTCAGCTGTAGCTGCTGGAACTTTCATGACGTAAGAACTTTAAAATATCTTCTCCAGGGTCCTGAGTTTTAGTAGCCCCCCCCCCCCCCCCCCGAGGCCCCGGTATCACCTCGTCCTCTAATTGTTTCAGGACTCGGCCCTCAGATTGTCCTTGGCAGCGGGCACTAGAGAAAGTGTTTAGCCTGTTTGTTTTTCTAGTAATTAGCCTTAAAAACGCTCCGTGATACAGACGGCTAATGGTCCCCAGAGAGAGGTGTGTGTGTGTGTGTGTGTGTGTGTGTGTGTTCCATGAGGTGATCAGCCGTGTGAACAGCGGGCAGTACTGTGAACATGTGTGTTTTCCCACCAGAAGCAGCGGTTCTGTTGGTTCTGCTCTGTGTCACCAGAACACACCGACGGGTCAGTCTGACAGTCACCATCTTTCTTTGCTTTTGTTTGTTTTAGCAGCTGAAGGCGTGAGAGAATATTTAAATACCAGCAGGTTGCTGCCAAAGCTCTGACACCACATTAGTGTTGTTGTTGTCTTGATTTATTAATCTGTAAGTAGGCGGAGCACAGATCGGCATTGTGGGTAATTCTGTGAAGTCTGAGCTGGAGGCCGGAGCAGCTGAGTGAAATACGACTTCTTCTTCTTTAAGACGTTTTTCTTTCTGTTCTCATCGTGTTCGTGTGAATTCCTCCAAGTTGTTTCCTCAGAGAGCTTTTTATAAACCGTGAAACCAGACAGATTCCTCACGAGCGTGTCGATGAGCTGAAACAGTTGTTTGGCATCAAACCAACACGTTTCAGCATCGAGGGCCAGAGGACTGTTTAGAACTGATCCCAGCTCAGATCTGATGCGTAGAAAGACCAACATGTTGGAAACCACCGACGTTAACGAGCACAACGTGTTCAGCTGCTTTGTTCTTATTCCGAATACAACAATATTCCCATTAATCTGTTTACATTGCTAATAAATATGTATATTTTATGTGATTATACGTCTAAAGAATGCTCCTAAACTGTGTGCAGAGGGAGCAGGAGAACGCGATGACGCGTCTCAAGAAGCAGCAGGCGGAGCTGGAGGCTATGAGGCTGCGTTACCTAGCAACGGAGCAGAAGGAGGAGGTCCACCAGGAGAGACGGGAGCTCGACGACATCAGGAACCAGCTCAACAGGTGAGGAGGAGGAGGAGGTCATCTTCATCATGAACAGTTACAGGGAAGGAGTCGCTTCCTCCAACAAAGACCACAACGTAGTGCAGCTGCTAATAAATATGAATTAAACTTTATAGTTGAGTAGTTGTAGCTCATAATGTGCTCTGGGTTTTTATCTATTTAATAAAAGTTTACGATCTCTTCTCCGGCAGACTAAAACAACAGGACGACGACAGGTTAGGCCCCGCCTCCTCCCAGAGTGGCCCCGCCCCCGCCCAGAGCCTGAACGAGGGCGCCGAGGAACACCTGAGCCGCCTGCTGGAGGAGAGAGACACTCTGCTGAGGACCGGCGTCTACACCCACGAGGACCGCATCATCGCCGAGCTCAGCAGACAGATCCAGGACGCCATGAGGGGCCGAGGGAGCCTCTGACCTCAGGTTTTAAGTCATAACTTATTATTGTTACACGAGCGTCACTCACCGCTCAGGACAACAGGGTTTACTGCCGTGGAGATGTAGTCTTTAAAGGCTGAACAACAGCTCATATGCATTCAGCAGAATATTCAGTTCTATAAAAACATGCCGAGAGTTTCTCTTTATTCAGTCAGTGTTGACTTCTGGAGTTCATAACATCTGGAATCAATTCAACAAGCAGTATAACACTAATAATACTGTTTAACAGCTCATCTCCACCGGCTCTTCTCTCCTCTCACAGGCTGACCAGAGGTTCAGTCAGAGTCGGCTGATGCAGCCACGGACCTGATCCAGTCCAGCGATGAACAACCCCCCCCCCCCCCCAGAGACACCCACACCACTACCAACCAGCACACCACACCCCCACCCCAACCAGTGTAAATGAGGCTTCTGTTTGGAATCCTTCCTCATTATGTCACTGAGTGTGAAGAAATAAACTGTTCAGTTATTATAGATGGTGAGTTTGTGGACAGTCTGTAAGTATGAACATTAGTTCTGGTGAGATGATGAGCTGTGTAGAGTATGAACAT